CACTCAATGACACGTGTAATCCTCACGGCCACCTGGGAGAAAGATATTTTCATGACATTGCAAAGTAAGTTGACCCCAAGTCTGGTCAGTCCCAATTTTTTCCTTGCTAAAAACCTTTCTGTGACTCAACACAGCCTGCAAAGTGAGTCCGAAAGCCTTAGCATGGTGCTCTGAGATTCAGGCCCCAGGCCTCAGGTCTGCACTTGCCTTCTGGTACTCCGAGCTCCAGCCCTTACAAAGCTATTTGCCATTCTCCAAACCTGCCAGCCTGTTCCGCATCTCTGAGCCCTACCTCCAGATGCATGTCACCTTCCCACGGTCACTAGTGAACATCTAAGTCCTGACTAGTGAATATCTATTTATCCTCTGTGTGGAATGCCCCCCTTCCACCTCATGCCTGGTGAACCCCTGCTTACCTTTCTAGTCTCAAAGCTCTTCTTCCTCTGAGAAACCTCTCCTGTGCCTCCTGCCCCCAAGAACCAATACACCTGCTGTATGCTGGGCAGGAACCTGGCGTGGCTCTAGCATTACCTGACATCGTAGTGGATATTGAGGTTGACCCCTCAATATTTTCCACCCCAAAAGTCATTCTAATTTAATCCCATTCTTCTTGATAGAAGAGGCCATGGGATATTTAAACCCCTTTTCTAATTTATTGGTGCTCTTCTCTGGGAACAGCCTTGGGACCTGGGCCATTGTGCACACACTTGAACCAGCTTCTGTGTGTGGGGGCGATGACGCTAGTTCTCCTGGAACGACTTTCCTACTGGAGTGGAAACGGACGGCGTCCTCCCAGCTCCTTCCCGGGAATCCAGCCTGGGCCAGCAGAAGCCACTCTTGCTCTCCATGTCTGAGAGAGGAGGGGGGCTCCTGTTGTCCTCCGGTTGCCCCCAGGCTGCGAGGGCTTTCCAGCTAGGTCACCACAGAGACACACCTTCATTCTGTCTCTGGACCACAGGCCAACGCTCTAACTGCTGAGCCAAACTGGCCAGGGCCACACCTTCATTCTGTTCTGTCTCTATCTCACCACTGCCCGTCCACCTTCAGAACTTCTCCATCCCACTCCCTTTACTCCACAGGCAATAACTTGTTAGCCGATTAGCACGTAGCAGCTCTCAGCCCTCAGGTGACCACAGGTTCATAGGATGACCCCGCCGGACCTCCCTCTCAAGGCTATTTGCACATTTGCAGGAGATTCCCAGAGGTATCTGCATTTCTAAAACTTCAGCAGCTTGCCAGGCTCAGTGCCAGATGATTTTACATATTACTTCCCATTTAATTCTAACAGCAATTTTGTCATTACTATTTATTCCTGTTTTGTAGATGAGGCTGCTAAAGCTCAGAGAGCTTAAGTAACTTGCCCAAGATTACACAAATATAACAAGAGCTGGGACTGAAGGCCATTGTGTCTGGGTCCAGGACCCTGCTGGGTGTAGGAGGGAATTCTGCATGCAGCCCACCGCAAACACAGCAGATGTGCCCCTTGTCTCCTCTGCCTTCTAAAAAGACAGTCCTGCTTGTTCAGCTTCTCCTACAGAAGGGCAGCAGCATCAACCCCACTTACAGTCATGTCCTTTATAACATCCCAAAATTTTCTGTTGGAGTGTGTGTGAAGGAGCAAAAACTCACACCCTAAAGTCACACAGATTGAAGAGATGAAGTGCAGGCAGTTTGGACTCTAGACCCCTGCTGTCAGCCCGGGAGGGCAGGGATGGGGAGTAGGGGTGGAGAAGAAAGGAAGTCATTAGAAGTGTGGAGAGTGGGGCCAGTAGGTCCTGGCCTGGGCTTCTCTGGGGCCTACCCAGAGGTCACGGCAATCCAAGAACAGTGAAGAAGGTTCTAAGTCCCAAGGAAGATGAGTAAAGTGGATCCTGGCTCCTGAGCACAGTGAGCGGGAAGGTTTTGAAAAGATCAAGGGGGCCCAGTTGGTGTGGCTCAGTGGATTGAGTGTGTCCTATAGACTGAGAGGTCCTGGTTTGATTCCCAGTCAGGGCACATACCTGGGCTACAGGCTTGATCTCCAGTGAGGGTTGCACAGGAGGTAGCCGACAGATGCGTCTCTCTCACATCTATGTTTCTATCTCTCTCTCCCTAAAAAACCAATAAAACATGTTTTTTAAAAAAAGATTACAGAGACACGTCTGCAGTCATTCCCCCCTCGCTTCACCCTGGCTTCATCAGGTGGGCCTGTGTTGCAAGACCCGGCCACCAGGTGGCAGTAGAGAACCAGCCAGTGGCCCACAAGGTGTAACAGTGCAGGCTCTAACCCTGGAGCTGGAACATGGGAAGAGGCAGGTTCAGCTGGGCCAAAGGGGTAATGGGTCAGGCAGCCTCATAGTGACAGTTCACGCTATGTTGCTAAACTTATTCGGTACCAGATACTGTGTCAAGCACGTGGTGAGCATGATCTCTTTGAACTCTCACAGCTAACCTAGCAAGTAGATACTTTTGTTAGCCCTACTTTTTGAATGCAGGCAACTAGGCTCCAAGAGTTTTATGATTTGCCCAGAGTGACACAGATTGAAGAGATGAAGTGCAGGCAGTTTGGACTCTAGAGCCCTGCTGTCAGCCTGGGGGTGGGGGGCTATACTGTCACAAGTCACTAGGAAGTGTGGAGGGTGAGGGCAGGTAGGGCCTGGCCTGGGTTGGCCCTGGGGTAGAGCCTGGGGCCTAGGCCAGTCCAAGGACAATGACTAGGAGCCTAGTCAAAGGGAACTTCTGGGGCACTTCCAGGAGACAGGATGTGGTAGGATTTTCAGGCTGAGGTTCCTTGGGAAACCTTATTTGAAGAAGAAGCCACCCAGCCAGTCCTTGGCACTTCACCCTGCCAGAACTGGGTACCTCAGAAGCTGAAAACCACTCAAAGGCCCAAAGAGATGCCCTTGTAAGATCTGATTGGGACTTTCTTACTGAAATCCAAAGAGCAGAGGGACTGGAGAGTATGTCTCCAGATGGGTCATAGTGTCCCCAGTGTGCTGGGTCTGGTTCTGTAGCCCGCTCTGGGGGAGGGGATGATGCCAGCTGCTTTGCAGTCTCTGTCCCCGGACACACTCAAGGCCCCTGAATTAGCACCCATCACCACGGGACTTGAGTGAGACCTGAAAGCTTCCCCTTCCCCTGAGATCCAGGTCAGTACCTCCCTCCTCTCTGGTGTTGTTGCCAGTCATCCAGGGGCTCAGTTGTAGAGTCCAAGTTCATGCAAACCTTTGGCTTCTTGGCTCAGAACAGCACCCACCACTAGGCCTTTGTGAGAGTTACCGGGCATTACCCCAAGGTTCAGCTTGAAGTTGTTTCCCCAAATCCTTGGACACCAAGAGCTTGTATCCTTCCTGATTTTTGAATAAAATCTCCTGAATCAGCCTCAATTCTGGGAATCCAGACTGTCGTGTTCTATTATTCTGCCTCAGGGCCTTTGCTCTGGTTCTTCTCTCTGTCTGAAATATTCTTCCTCTGTCTTCATAAGGCTGACTCCTTATTCTCATTTAGGTCTCAGTTTACATTTTTCCTCCTTTCCAGAAAGGCTTTTCCTGTCTTACCTAATAGGGATAACAACCCTCTCTCCATTTGTCTCTCCCTTGCTGTTTCCAGTGACGATGATCCGTATGCAGCCGTTCAATAATGCCTGCACACAGGACAGTCCCAAATGGGAACTGCAAAGCCACAGGATCTGTCAGGAGTGGACCCTCGAATGTTATGGGGAAGGGGAACTTAGTGGCCATTTAAGTCCTCAGGAGATGAAAATGCTCAGATTCCTTGATTCTGGTGGGTGTTTTGTCTGGTTTGCTCATGATGGTTATGGAGAGCTGGTGAGCAGAGGCAACTGCTGTGTCGCACTGACATGCTTCTGGGCTGTGACAATCAGGGTACATCACAGTATCAGGCCACATCCGCTCTGGTTTCAGTTAGGTTCTACCTTCAAAGAGAATATTTTGTCTGCCTCTTGCAAATGCAGGAAACCCACTCTCCTCAGAGGACAGTTATCTCTGAGAACATCACATAGAAATCAGGGAGCTCAGCTCAGGAAGTTTTAGGGATCTTCTATTTCCTCTTCTTTTTTTAAAATTCTTTTTTCCTTTATTAATCTTAGAGAGAGAGTGGAAGGGAGAGGGAAAGAGGGCTAGAAACATCACTGAGAGAGAATATCAATTGGCTGCCTTCTGCATGCCCCACACTGGGGATTTGGCTCATAACCCGGGCATGCACACCGACTGGGAACTGAACTGAAGACCTCCTGGTGCATGGGTCAGTGCTCAACCACTGAGCCACACCGACAGGGCTATTTCCTCTGCTTGATCAGGTGGGCCTACATGGGCTTACCTAAAGGCTCTCCAACACTTTGAGGCAGGATGAGGGAGGGCGTGAGGTGCCCAATTTCATCTGAATGTCAAATAAACAAAAAATAATTTCTTTAGTTGCACTGGCTGATTTGGCTCAGCCATTAGAGACTCGGCGCACAGACCAAAGAGTCACGGGTGTGACTTCAGTTGGGGGCACATATCTTGGTTACAGTTCTGTCCCCCACCCTAGTCAGAGTCATGTGAGAGGCAACCAATTGATGCATCTTTCTCACATCAATATTTCTCTCTCTCTCCCTCCCTCGCTCCCTCCCACTCTGTCTGAAAATAAATGGAAAATTATCCTTGGGTGAGGATTTAAAAACAAAACAAAACATCTCATGTAGTAAGATATATACTAAAAAATAGGCCACAGTTATACTAAAAATTATTGTTTTTCGGAAATTCAAACATAACTGGGCATCCTATATTTTAACCAGCAACCGTCCACAGGAGGGACCAGCACTTAAAATAAATGGCTTCTCCAGGATGAAACCCTGGGTTGGAGAAAACAAAGGCCATACTGAGCTGTGACTTTTTGAGGGGAGGAATGAAGTTGGTTTTATTCACGCCAATTAAGCAATCACAGATGATCCCATTAGAAATCCAAACTCGTGACTAACATGGGACTGAAGACCAGGAAGAAAGAAAAGAAAGATTAAGAGGGGAGAAGCAATCTTCACAGACAGGGCCAGCCACAGACGGAGGAAGACCCCATCCGGGAAGGTAAGAGCGTTGCCGTCTGAGCAGCCGAGGTCTTGTTCTTTCAGAACAGGGTTGGGGAGGTTCTGGTGGATGCCTGCACCCTCCCTCATTGCCTCTCTGATGCTTGGCCATCAGCAGAAACCCTCCACCGTGTTTGTAATTTCCCAGCTTCTGGAGGTTCACAAAGCCTCCGAGATGCTCGCTCCAGACTGCCAAGCAGCAGAGCAGAGAAGCAGGACGAGCGGGCTCTGAGCACTTGGTCCTGCCACTCAAGGACTGCTTCTCCTGGGTCCGGCTGGGTGAGGGGCTTTGCTGTCCCTACGGTGTTTGCCAAGGCTCCAAATTGGAGGTATAGATTTACAAAAACAATTTAACACAGAATTAATTGAGTTTTGTGTCTGTGATTTTGAATCCAGCGTTCACCCCTACATTATTCACCTGAGTTGATCAGTGAATTCAACTGTAATTTCTTTTTTACCTCTGGGAAGGGCAGATTACACAGGAAATGCCCCGGTGAATTCCCCTCTCCACCCTCCCACTTCTCTCCTGCTGTTTTAAACAGGCTCATTAATACAATTCTATGGGGAGCCAACCTTTGAAATTCATGAGAACAATAAGAGGGAAGAAAAACACACAATAGCAAGGACAGAAGAGAAACCACCATTGGGTTTTGGCAAGCGCACTTTAATCATGACCACTGTAGTTCATGAGCTTTTTGTTTATTAGTATTATAGTTTAAATTTGTGCATTATAATTACATAAATATATAAAAAACACACAAACATTATATATGGGTGCATATATAACACATGCATGCATTATATAGGCATATTATATATTTATGTATACTTTTTTAAAAAAATCCCAATCATGAGACTTGAATAAGGGAGAAGCAGAAATTGATTTTAGTAGGAAGGACAATAAATTGTTACGAGAATCAGGCTATGGGCTTCTTCAGCTTACTTTGGGAGGTTGAACATGGACTAGACCAGGCACCTGGAGGAGGTGTTCTCCTTTGTTGGAAAGTGGGCTGGGAGGATGCTGTGCTCGGCCACACAAAAGTCATCCTAGCCTTCTGTTTGTGCAAGGATTGATGTCAAAGGATATCTTCAGAGAAAGGTAACTCCTTGGGCCATGGAAAGTAAGGACTAATAAAAATGCTTTTTGTTTCTCTACAGTGGATGTTCAAGAGTCAAACTGAAGGCAAATGAAGAGCATTTTCCTCCAAATAATAACTCAGTTTGAAAACCTTTTGCTTTTTAAAAAATTTCTTCTTTGAATTTAATTTTCATTTGGTGGGAGGCGTTACAAACCTGAGCAATTTTCACTTGATAACAATAATAGAAGCAGATACACATCATCTCACAGAGAGACCAGGGTCCCAGCTGTCCATGGTCACCTAGTGGGAGTGTCTTTGTGGGTCTTTGTGAGATGACAAGCAAGGATGCTCTGGATACATTAAATGATGCCTGTGTGCCTCTACTGTTAGGTGTCCTGTGACCCCACACGATGCCTAGTGAAGAGGGCCACTTCGTCTATGGGCACCCCAAGAGCGGGCACGGCCACTTCTACATCACAGCTCAAGAGTAAGTTCAAAAGTTTGCTAACACAGCCTCTGAATTCCACCGGCACACGCCCGTCCACCAGTCTCTCCAGTGTCTCTCTCTCCAGAGGGTAGAAACCGTGGCAATAAAGTGTGCAGAGTCTGTGGTCCCACGAGGGCTCACACACACTTCTCCAAGGCCGAGCAGGCAAGGTGATAGGAATGGTAGACAGTTGGATCTGGTTATTTTTGTCTGCATTCTTGGCTAGTAGGCCTTTGCTGTAGGTTCCCAGGCTGAAAAACAATGTCTGGGAGCAGTTTGCCTCTTTCCTCAGGTCATGTACTGTCTACTCCTCTCAGGCTCCTGAAGGGGGTCTGCAGACAGAGCAAAGGGGAGTTGCCAAAGAGCTAGTGAGGATGAAAGGCATCGGCGACTGACTCCAGGGCGAACATGGTGGTCAGAACATCTGCAGCGTAACTTGATCAATGAAAAATAAGTATTTATGTGATTAAGCATTTCTAAGGGCTAAACATTGTATAACCCACCCAAGACATTATTCTTGCCTTTAAAAAAAAATCTTATGATCTAGTGGGAGAGTTGGGTGCGAGGATAATTTTAGCAAGGGTGAGTGCTGGATGGGAACACGGCTGTGGGGCGCACCCTGTGTGTGCAGCTGTGGTGCTGGGAGGGGAGCTCCGCCCTCCGAGTGGGGACTCCAACAGGACAAACAGGGAGCCATCTCTAAGTGATCTGCTGGCAACTTCCTGCAAACCTGCTGTCCGGGAAAGCACTGTGGATACATCTTTCCTAGAGTGAACTTGCAGGGCAAGCAGGTTTTAGAACCCAGCCAAGGCACTGAGGAGGAATTTTCTCAAAGATTCTGCAGGATTTTCTTCTCCACCCCACCCCCAAACAACCAGACACATAAAAGTTTAGTTCATTAATCCTCTCATGAAAAATCTGCACAATCACCACAGATGAAGTCACTGAAGAATCTTTACGCCTTCTTGCCAGCACCCACACTGGCCTCTGCAGTCCCCCTGACTGTCTTCCTCCTGGTCTTGCGTTCCCTCCCCTCTTCCCTGGAGGGCGTCTTCTCCTACAGGCCACGTCTTGCAGGTCTGTGTGTGGGTTCATTTTTTTTGCGTGATACAAGGATCATAAATCACGCCAAAGCCGGTTGTCTCGCCGCCACCAAAATGGGTTCTGGATCCAAACTCAAAGATGACATCTGGTATGGTCTTATACATTTGGGTTAGTTTTTCCCGAATTTCTGTCTCGGGTACTGTTGCCTTCCCAGGGTGAAGGACATCAATGTCCATTTGTTTCCGCTGGAGTAGTCTGTTGGTCATGATCTTCCTGGTCCGGATAGTTACTATGTCATTCATGATGGAAGGTGATCTCCCTGCGGGATTTTCTAAAGTCCCTGCATGGTCACTGAGGGTAGCGGTGTGCAGATGTTCTGAAAAAATGTCCCAAGAGAAAAAGTATGCGCTTTGAGGGTTACACTGCCCATGGTATGAAGTAGGGTATTGTTTTAGGTTCTGCATGACAACTTAACAGACCCCACTGCTGTGAAACCTCGTAGAGGGGGGTTCTCTGAGGCGAGAGGGCACAGTCGCCCATGAGCTTGAGCAAATGCAGCTTCCTAGGCACTGCCACCCAAGAGGCTGATTCAGTGGGACTGGGGGTGGGGCCAGGACCTGTACTTGGGTGACTCCGCTGCAGGAGGTACTGGGGTGACACTCTGAGGACTCAGCCCTGCTGGGCAGTGGGTTTCTCTGGTGTCTGGCACGTGCTGATGTTTCCTGCTCTCAGTCAGTCCCTCCGGCTGTGTGAGTACAACGTGACCGTGTGTAAAGAGCCGGAACAGAGCTCTGTCTGTGTCATGATGTTCAAGGGGATAACCGCAGACCTGGTGGGTGCAATCAGGGCGCAGGCATGCTGGGAACTGGGTCAGCTGCCTTCAGTCACGAGAGCCCACCGAACACTCCATGTGACGGCTTCAGTTCAGGACAGGGCGATCCGGCAGCAGAAGCACCGGCTAGGGTGATGGGAGACCTGGGTCTGGCCCAAATTCTAGCACTCACTCACCCGGTACCTCAGGCCAGTCGCTGTGAAAGGTGGTTCTGCTGCTTACCTGTTGTGTAATCTTAGGCATTTTACCAGCCTCACGTCTTGGGATGTCGGCTGTGAAATGAACCTCATACATTCCTCAGAGGGTTATCATGAGGATGGAATAAAAGCCTCTAGGTGGGGGGCTTGGCACTAATTGGTGCTCAGTGAATGGCAGAGTGGCACCTAAGGTGGTACTGATGCTGATGGGTGGTGGTCAGGTTCAGCTTCGTGATCTATACAGTGGCGGACTGGCCTGTCGACTAGGCTAGAGTTTTATCCAGCACTGTCATCCATGTTTCTCTCTGTCCCACTGGGAGATGGACCTTGTTCCCTCAGCTGTCCTGAGGGGGAGGTGGTGCAGCTGGTGGTACTGGGCAAAGGTCTCTCCAGGAGAAGTCTCAGTTAGACCATGTGGCACCTGCAGCTGCTCAGTCTCTTATGAATCGCCCAGTTCTGCAGAGCCTTTCTTTTATCAGAGATAAAAGACTCTGTGCTCTCTGTTTTGTTGATGTTGTTCATGCTGTGAAGTGGAAAATCAGGCAGATGTTAGCTAATTGACAACGTTATGCAGGGAAAGCAGAGCCTTGGGCCTTGGAAACAGGGTGAGTAATGCTTCCCATGGGCCACTGGCCACAGGGCCCAAAAGGCTGGCTTGGACTCCTGGACTGCATCCTGCTGCTGACAACCAGATTCTTCTCAGTGATGCTGCAGCTGTGCTCCTGGTTCAGCTCAGACACTTCTCCCCAGGGCTGAGCCCCACTGCTATTTCTTTTAGTAATCATGCCTGCCAGGTGGGAGGTACTTACTATCTACAGAGTGCCTGACTCCAAATGTCATCCGCCCCCTCTGACTGGCCAAGAGGTCAGACCTCTCATCTCGGCCACCCCAGGGCTCTGCTGCCAGCTCCATTCTGAGGTCCCTCTTTCAGGTCACTCAGGTGTGACCGGAGTAAGCAGAGCACTAAGCCATGGATCTGGTCCTCAGTGACTTGCACTAGATTCCCGGAGCAAGCAGAGGCCAGATAGTAGCTTGCCTAGCTGAGCATAACCCAGGACATGTGTCCTACCTGGGCTGGGCTCTGCCATCCTATGTGATCTCTAAATCCTCCAAGTCCCACTTTCATCTCTTCTGCCGGAATGTGCCAGCTCTGAGCCCCTGGGGGCCAGTTTCCAAGCTCTTTCCCCTGTATTACCTCTCTCCATCCCCAACCAAAACATGCTCTGTGGGAAGTTGCCAAGCGCTTTATTCTCACTAGTGTCAATAACTCACCAGAGGTTCAAGTAACATTTTGCCACAAATACACATACTTTTAAACAGTTATTTTAAGAAGACATAAGTTGTTTATTCACTTTTCAGGGAGACTGGTGTTATGACAGAGAGGATGTGAATTTGTAATCAGCTATATATAATTCATTTGTTCATTTTTTATTCATTTATCTGGCCATCCAGACAACCATCCATCCATTCATCCATCCACCCAGCTTCAAGAAATACTTCTTGAAATACCTGACCCTTTCAAGGCATTGAGGACACACACACACACACACACACACACACACACACACACGAAAAAACTCCTCTGGGAGCTCTTTTTCTATTTCTAGAAGAAACAGGTAAGGACACTGCTGATGACCACAGGGAGGCCTGTGAGAGAAGGCAGGATGGGTTGCCTTCATGCTGGGAGGAATGATGCTGAGTCTAGGAAGGTGAGGATAGTACAGAGCAGGACTGGAGATAGGAGATGAGCAAGGGATGCCGTGCAGGGGAGGGACTGAGCAGAAAGGGCACAAGGGAGAGTCAAGTTCAAATCCTATGTTACCTCTGTAGGACCATCAGCAAGGTGCTTAACCTCTACATTTCTTTCCTCGTCTGTGAATTGGGGATGATAAGTGGTGCCTGTTTTCAGGGTTGCTGTGAGAATTAAATAAGCTAATGTATCTACAATGTTTAGCATGACACCCGACTTATAGTAGATGTTAAGTCAGTGTTAATCTCCATTTCCTTTTTGTGGACTGAGAGTTGGGGAGAGTGATTTAAACCAGCCCTGAAAAAAAGAAAATTCAGTAAATAGTCTACATGAGGGTTAGTGGCACTGCACCTCTTGCACCAGGAACTTGGGTGCTTGGGCCATGCCAGTTAGCACGGCTCCTGTTGGCACATACCTGAGAGATTCCTAGAGGAGGTGCTGCCCCTGGATACAAGTGCTGGAGGGCTGGTGGGTGCCTGGTGTGCCATGTGGTAGGAAATTACTTGGGGGCTGGGTGGTGCTGTTCTGGGCTGGCAAAGTCCCTGTGAAGAGAGAGGAATGTTTGATCACATTGTGGAGCAAGGCTCCTGTACTGAGATGGGCCAGGGTCTATCTGTGGGTCTATCTCTTGGGCCAGGATCGCAGGGATTGGCGTCCTGACAGTGATCCTGGGAATTCTACTGTTCCTCGGCTGCTGGTATTGTAGAAGACGAAGTGGATACAGGAGCTTGAAGGTTGGTAAAGCTCCCACTGCTGCGGTCCTTCCAGACCCAGGATCCCACTTCCCATTTTTCCTCTGAATTTCTGGGCAGTGGGGTAACATTTTCAGGATCACCTCTAGCTCTGATTCCTAGTTCTGATGAGTCTTTCCCTACATTGTACTTCCTGCAACTCTTTCTCGGCCACTCTTTGGTTCCACTCAGAGCAAACTTGAGTGCCTGGCTATGCACGTAGCTGAGCACTGATAGTCTGTGGGGACAGGGCAGGGTTTATGATCCCCCTGCACAGCAAACAGCAGCATATGAGACACTCCAGGTCCTACGAGTCCTTTGGGGGATTCTCACTGCCTCTGTAGCTTCACTTAGTGGCCACCTCTCTCACCTTTCCTCTTCACCCCTTTCCTCTCAGGTTGTCTGAGAATTCTTCCAACTCCGATATACCAAGCAACCCAGGATACCCAGGACCCATCTAGCCATCAGTTCAGGGAGGTAACCATTCACTCCTCAGCAGCAAAAAGGACCACCAGGTTTTTAACAGGCTCCATCTTCCTTTGATGGCCAATGCGGTTCTAATAGGACTTTTTCTTCTATACCCATACAATTAGGAAGCCAACAAGTGACATGGTCCAGTCTGGGGGTAGCAGGATCCTCCACAAACGGGAAACATCAACTGAGTCTCTAAACTATAAAAACTACATGCAAACGAGCAATGAAATAAAAGGCGAGAAGTCTCTCTCTCTTTCTCCCCTCTACCCCCTTCCTCCCTTTTCCCTTCTCTCTCTCCCTCTCCTTCTCTCTCCTGTCTCTCTTTCTTGTTATTACAAATCTGAAAGCTTCTGAGGTTGATACATAATGGAAAAAAAGTTATCTTTACAAAAGATGTCAGAAAGTCCCATTCCTCATTCAGAGGGAAAGATTCTGTGATGGAGGGGAGGACTGGTGTGGTCGGGGGGCTATAGCTTGGCAGACTGAGGAGGAGAGAGGAAGGTGAGAACTGTAGCTTTGAATTCTTCTGAAGCTGGGGAAGTCCCATGTGTCCATTTTCCTAATACCCATTTTGCCAGAGTGTCCCAAATACAAACCATGAAAGACAGGCTGACTTTGGGGGCTGACATACCCATCGAGCAGCAACCCTTTCGTGTATTGACATTTCATGGGAAGGAGGAACAGTTGTTGAGTCTGAATAAGACTCCAAACCAAGTCCCATAGGGAAGCCTTGGGTTAGGAGGTTAGGGATGAGACCCTGCTTATTTGATACCTCTCTGTGGCCATCCACAGCAGGTCAGTGAAGGGGAGGAGGGGCCTTTGCTCTCTGCCACAGGACCCCATTTGTACCTCTAGCATGAAGTATGGCATGCCTTGCAATTGGCTATTTACTTTTTGCCTCTTCCACCCTTTCTCTTTCTACCATTTATAATCTGGAATGTACAGCATTTCTTTTTTATTTTATTTTATTTTATTTATTTATTTTTTTTAGGAAAAGAGAGAAACATCGATGTGAGAGAGACACATTAACTGGGTGCCACTCGCACGACCCCAACTGGGGCCAGGGACAAAACGCAACTGAGGTACATGCCCTTGACTGGAACCGAACCCGGGACTCTTTGGTCCACAGGCTGACACTCGTTAGAGCAAAACCACTGAGCAAAACCGGCCAGGGGGGATAGTATTTCTTTTTTAAAAAACTATGTTTTAATTGATTTTAAGAGAGAGGGAAGGGAAAAGGAGAAGGAAAGAGAGAAACTTTGATGAGAGAGAAACACTTATGAGAGTGAAACATCAATTGGCTGCTTCCTGTATGTCCCCTACTGGGGATCGAGTCCAAAACCTGAGCATGAGCCCTGCCCGGGAATTGAACCTGCAACGTTTCAGTGCATGGGACAGTGCTCAGTCACACTGGCCAGGGCTGGAGAATATTTCTTATTCATCTTTGTACCTCCAGTGCCCAGCACAGTGCCTGGCACATGGCAGTCACCCAAGTGTATGGCATTAGTTTTGGTCTCATTGTCTGCCATTGACTTGCTTGATGACCTTAGATTTTAACTCCTCTAAGGCTCATTTGCTCTGTTCTATACCTAGACAGATGATGTAATATCACGTGTATCTGTTTTTATTTAACATATATACTTTTTTATACAGGTTCTATTAAGTTTATGTTTGTATATAAAAAAAAATCACAATGATTTAGCTTTTCAAGGAGTGAAAGTTCTACAAACTCAGTATGTTGGAACTCATTTCCCAACCGTCCACAGTTGTTTGCTAGATGATACTAGACATAAAGACAATGTTTTCAAAATATTCCTTTCTCCTTCACCCCTCTCATTTTATACTCATTCAATTTAAGAGTAACAGAGAGTCTGAACATAGAGTCTCAGATACTGGGAACATTTTGCTTGGTAAGGTCTGAACTCAGCCAACTGGGCCTCCTTACTCGAGGTCTAGATCAGTGATTTGTGGTGTCCGGCATATGTGTTTGTATTCCCTGGTTCCCTACGGTCTAAAAACGCTCTCTGTCATTTATTATTTTAATTAATTTTAAACTCTTGTTTTGAGATTTTCATATCTCCTGAAATGCCATGTTGGGAATTAGCAGTCTCAGAAATGTAGGCTGGAATTACGTAAAATAGTGTGTCAAGTGCAGTGTAATTATCTCCCTGTCTCTCTTTGGTGACTCTATTTTCATTTTAAAACAGAAGGACATAAATGACAACAAATGCAAGCTCTGGGTATCGGAGTTACTGCACCTTTCACAACCTGCATTAAGCTCTGAATGCCCACTCCCCTGAGTGCAGAATGGTAGCAAGGTTGGTTGGAATTTAGATCTCCTAAAATTTCTCCTTTGGCTAACAATTCCCCTTAGACCTGGAAAACATCTTTGAAACTACTTTTGGCAGCAATGTGTTTCTTCAGGAAAATGATTCGTAAGGAGCTGGAAGTTGGTTTTCTTATTTACCAATTTTACTCTTTTATTTGGAAGCTTAGAACACAATACTTTAGATTCTTGGAGAACAGCTGAGCTTATGCCCATCTGCTGGTGTTTGTTTCTCGGTGCATGGCCTAGGGCTCCTGCATGCAAATCACTGGGGTTCCTGCTAAAATGCAGATTCCAGGTCTAGCTCTGGTGGTGAGACCCAGGAACCTGCCTTTTTTCATGCACACTATGGCAGGTGAAAGATTAAAAAACAACAAAGCCCTGGCCGGTTTGGCTCAGCGGTTAGAGCGTCAGCCTGTGGTCCACAGAGACCCGGGTTCGGTTCCTGCTAAGGGCATGTACCTTGGCTGCAGTTTGTCCCTGGCCCTGGTTGGGTCGTGTGGGTGGCGTCCACTAGATGTGTCCCTTTCACATCGATGTTTCTCTCTCTTCCTCTCTCTCCTTCCCGCTCTATCTGAGTGAAAAATGGAAAAATGTCCTCGGGTGAGGATTAAAAAAAACCAAAAAACAAAAAAACAAAGAAAAAGAATAAAAGCGATTAGTAAGTAAAGGGAGAGATGCATTGAGTGCCTTTTCTGAGGTGTATCTCTAGGAGCTGGGGAGGGAAGCAGAATCTCCCCGCATCTTCATGTCAAGATCATGCTCCTTCTCCGTGATTGTTTTAAGCCACTGAGTTTTAGGACGGTTTGCTATGTAACGACAGATAGCTGAAACATGCTGTTTGATTAAATTTGTGTATGTTTTAATCAGGACTTTTTGCACTCACAGAAAGAAGATTGGACTATATTTTCTTTTCTTTTTTTCCCCTGTCCTTGTCTGCTTTTCATATCAACATTATACAATCCTTTAAAAATGAGCTGGGATGTATTCCTTTTTCCTAGTTTCTGAAACATCTGGGTAAGTTTGAAATTATTTTCTCTTTAACATTTGATTAAAAAGGGAAAAACTAGCCCTGGCCCATTTTGTTCAGTGGTTAAGAGCATCCACCTGCAGACCAATGAGTCTCGGGTTTGATTCTGGTCAAAGGCACTTACCTCGGTTGCGATTCATCCCAGGCCCTAGTCGGGGTCCTGGGGGAGGCAACCAATCAATGTGTCTCTCTCACGTCGATGTTGTTTTTTTTTTTTCTCTCTCTCTCCCTCCCTCCCTCCACTCTCTCTGAAGATTAATGGAAAAAATAGCGTTGGGTGAAGATTAAAAAAATAATAAACAAAATCAGTGATGAAATACCCCACCTCACCAGGGTGGACAGCTCCTACAGTCTCCACTTTGGTTTGTGTCTCGGTCTTACACAGCTTTTTATTGATTTTCTTTTTTTTAAGAGACAAGGAACAGAGAGAGAGAGATAGCACGATATATATATATATATATATATATATATATATATATATATATATATATATGACAGAGAAACATTGATCGGTTGCCTCCTGTACATAGCCCAACTGGGGATCAAACCCATAACCTAGGTATGTGCCATGACCAGGAATTGAACCTGCAACCTTTTGGTGTATGGGATGATGCTCCAACCGAGCCAGTTGGCCAGGCCAAAGCACTAAGCTTTTACCCACCCTCCCCCCCGATAACTCAGGGTGCATAACTTACCTTAGATGGACTTGTCATCATTGTTGCAATGATGACTTGGAAGCTCAGGGCCACAACCACAGCGTTTCTGTCACAGTATATGCATTCAGTGTTCAAGATATTTTGCTGTTGTTATGGGAAAGGCAGAAATAGAGTGTATCCCTGACGTCACGTTAGCATATGCTTATCCTCACTGTGATACCAGCTCCTGCCTCACCAACTCTGACCTACTCCACTTGCAATCATTCTGAGGTTCATTTTTCGGATTCACTCTTTTTCTCCTTCCCTTTAAAAATCTTCATTGACTAACAGATGCCAGGCATGGTACTAGGTGCTTTACCTTTAGTTAATTCCTGCATCACCTCTGAGAGGTAGGTGATGCTATTTTCATATTACAGATGCAAACACTGGAATTCAGAGGGATACACAGTATGTGGCAGAGCCAAGATTAAAACCCATTCTTAAAAATTCACTTTCTTTCTCACTTCTTCAATTGACTCAATAATTTCTTCTCACCCACTGACCTTTATGGATTCACATTTCAGGACAAAAGCCTTTATGCTGGCACTCCAAGCACCTTGACAGGAAGATGTCCACAGGAGGGACTTGGTCACCAGGTCAGCAAACTGCATTTTCTGGAGAACAATTATGAACCTGTGGTAGGTTGAGATCTTGCATCTGGATGCTTTTAACTCAAATGAATAACATTGTTCCCAAAAAGCAAGGACAATGTGAATGTATTTAATGCTACTGAACTGTACACCTAAAAACCATTAAAATGGTAAATTTTTGTCTATTTTACCATAATAAAAAATAATAATACAGGTAAAAATCAAGGGAAGCACAGAGATTTTCTTAGATTGTGTTTCCTCATACCCCAACTTTCTAGGGCCAGTAATAGAGCCTTACATGTAGGTTCCAAAGGAAGAACTTGGTTCTGGACACAATGTCCTTTCGTCTTATGTGTTTAGTTTGTCCATGTCCTGAACATAGATATATCAAAGGGACAAAATGAAAGACCTATTATTAATTGTATAGCGCTCTGCTGTGCAATAGGGTAGCCACCAGCCACGTGTCTATTAAGCACTTAAAGCACAGTAGTTTGAATTAAGATGTGCACTACTTCATACCAAACTTCAAAGACTTAGTATGAGGAAAGAATATAAATAATTCATTAATGAATTTTATATTGGTTACATGTTGAAATAATATTTTGAAATATTATGTTGAAATGATATGTTGAAATGATAATATTTTGAAAGGTGGTGTTAAGTGAAATATATTATTAAGATAAATTTCATCTGTGGTAAAAATGCAATGTATTTAGTGTCTGTAAGCAGGGTTCAATAATTCATTAATTAGGGCTTGGGACTTCTACTGAAAATAATATTCCAGGTATATGTACGCTTTTGAGATTTGGGGAAGCCCTTTAGCCCCATTTTTCTCTATTCTTGTCCCCAACAATGTTTCAACAGATACCCTTGTAAAATTTAACAAGGATTACCTTGTTGGGTGGAAATTAGATGTGGACACTTAAAAATTTCAGTCCGGAGCAAAAGCAGAAATATGCTACCTACTTTGACTTAGTGGCTCTCCTAGAAACATATGTACTGTTGCCAAGCCCTCACTCTCCTTTTCTCCCCCTCACAGGTTCCCAACGCTCCACCTGCCTATGAGAAACTCTCCACACAGCAGTCACCACCACCTTATTCTCCGTGAGAACCAGCAAGGCCCCCGAGAGACGCTGACATGATGTGCCTTACACTTTGGATTAAATTTAATATGGACATTCAATGTTCTGCTTTGGAATGCTGTAGAAACAGTGTACATCATTACTAATAATAAACTCAGTATCAAATTCTAAAGAAACTAGAAATACTAATTCAGGAAATGATGAAAAATATTAAAAGTGAAAAACTTTGTTGATAAATGTTGTGGTGCACGATACTTTCTGTGTCAGAAGTAATTCTAGTACATCTATGGTGTTATTTCTGGAGGGAGAGAATTTAAGTGTGTGTTCTGGGACCATTCAATTTCTTTTTAGTTGAATTTTGGCTACTAACCAACTACTGTTCTGATTTTTGAAGAAGCAACCTCTTGACCAAATTGAACTCTAACGGGATTGTTACAGGTGTGTTTGTGCTGTGGAGTGCTCACAAAGGATGCCTTTACAGGTTTCAGACCAAGAGCTGATTGACCTACCAAATTATACAGGCAGACTCATCTTATTACACAAGTTTCAATAATGTCTCTGTGTGCTAAAATTCCATGATGCTACTAATAATATATTTCAGACACCTTCTTTCTTTTTTTTTTATCCTCACTTGAGGACATTTTTTTTTTTTGCATTTATCTTCAGATAGAGGAAGGAGAGAGGAAGGGAGAGAGAAACATCGATGTGAGAGAGAGACAATGAGTGGTTGCCACCCACACAACCCCAACGGGGCCAGGGACAAACTGCAACCGAGGTACATGCCCTTAGTAAGAACCAAACCCAGGACTCTCTGGTCCGCAGGCTGATGCTCTAATTGCTGAGCCAAACCGGCCAGGGTGACAGCCTCTTTCTTAAGTAATACATAAACACAGTTCTAATTATATTTCATTTCAGGGCTCAGTGCTATAATTAATGACAAAAATTTCCTTTTAAACCAGAAGGTGGTGTCAAAATTTAAGTAAGTAAAAGCTAATGTAGTTTGGCTGATGTCTTGCCTTAAATGTTCCAATGGCAATTTCGTTCCTTTCGACTCCCAAGTCCCTCTCGAAAGAGCATATAGAAGAAATAATAAAGAAGCAGAGAGCCCGGCTGGTGTGGCTCAGTGGAATGAGTGTCATCCCATAGACTGAGAGGTCTTGGTTCAGTTCCTGGTCAGGGCACATGCCCAGGTTGCAGGCTCGATCCTTAGTGGGGGGTGAGCAGGAGGCAGTCGATCGAAGTTTCTCTCTCACATCTATGTTTCTCTCTCTCTCTAAAAAATCAATGAAAACAAAAACATTAAAAAAATTTGTATCACCACCCTAAATGGAAAATCATGTTCCATAAATAGAGGATAACTATAAACATGAAGATAATAAAAGCAAGATATTTTTTATTAAAATCTAGAGACACTGATGGTCATAGAAGTTTGTCAACCTGAGACCTGCTCTCTTTATTAAAGGAGATTGGCAAGAATGAGAGAAAAGCTTTCAACAGAATTAAAAGGCTTGTAGGAGAAAGGACAGACTTTCTCATTATGTGACTCAGAGTTATCAATGCTGAGTCAGCAAACCACCTAAAATCATCTTGTCATTGGAAATACCAGTGTAGCCTAAATGCATCATTTCCTACAAAAGACAAGATTGCACAGGAGAGAAAAACACTGAATAAAGAAACTTATTACACATATTGAAAACACGTCATTCAAAAAAATATGAAAATTCTTCCCTGCCCTTTCCGACTCTGTCCAGTCTTACGACTTAAGTCCTGTCCACCCACACCCCCTTTTTGAACAAATAAATGAATTCTAAGCATAGTAAACTCCATCAGGCATCTGGCCAGCTTCTTTCCTCATCGAAAGGTCTAGTTTGAGCCTTAATCCTCCACATTTATAGAATAACCTGTGGCTTGAGCTCTAGAGACCTCCAAGATCTCCAAACCATCCATCACTTACCGAGAGTTCCCTCCTTTCCGCATGGAAAACAGCTCTCTTCATAGAGTCCCTCAAGGCCTTGTCCCAGGTGATGGGCAAGGAGGGTTGAGCCGAGTCCAGAAATTAGAAGAGTGAGATTTTGTTTAATGGAAATATAAGGTGCCAGACTCAGCCAAAAGGACCTGCTCCCTACACAGGGGCAGCCACACTTTTGAAAATTGACTCCCTGGATTGGAGACCAATTGTGGGGCAACCTTGGGATCCAGGAGCTGAATGTTGCAGGGTCACATGATGGAAGGAGCCTGGGTCACTGAGACACGGAGAGTCTCCCCTATCTAGGAACACTCAGATTGAATGAGGACAAATTGGCCCCACAGAAAATGCATAAACTGGTAAGACATAGCCAAATCTGATACTGAAATTCAGGGCTGTTAGTTAATACCTTTGCTGAGGCCCTTCAGTGCTCTGCCCCTGCCCTCACCTGGACCGAACACAGATGGGAGCTGGAGGGGTGCCCCCAGTGGAGGAAGATCCCTGTGACCTCTGCAGGCAGGATCAGGCTTCCCTGGTGCCTGAGGAAACTTGAACTCAGGTGAATGAATGAGCCTCACCTAGGGCCCTGGGTACAGAAGTCCTCTCCACAACACCCTGATACGCTCATGGGCAGAGTGGAAAATGGCATGACACGGCTTTGATCTCCTGGGTTTCCTACAGAATCAGGCCAGGACTAAAGTAGTCAGAGCTCACCCTGGCCAGTTTGGCTCAGCAGTTAGAGCATCTGCGGACCAAAGAGTTTCGGATTCGATTCTGGCCAAGGGCACGTACCTCGGTTGCAGTTTGTCCGGACCTAGTTGGGGTTGGTTGGGGTTGTGTGGGTGGCAGCCAATCGATGTGTCTTTCTCACATGGATATTTCTCTCACTCTCTCTCTCTCCCCCCCTCCCACTCTGTCTGAAGATAAATGTAAAAATATCCTCAGGTGAGGATTCAAAAAAATAATAATAAAAGATAAAGTAGTCAGAGCTCATGGCTGGTTTCCTATGGCTGCAGTTCTTGTTTTATACTTGCTCAAATGCACTGGATAAATAATACCACTTTCCATTTGCACAGGGAGCTCTGTTATATAGAATTCAGTCTTCCCTCCTCCTCTTGCCCCTCACCAGCCCTCAGGTGTTGTCTGATGCTTGATTCAGGGCCCAAGTCTCTATGGGTTTCCCTAGGAGTTTCTGATGGTAAAGAAAGTGAAGAGCAGGCAAACTTAAAGAGAGAAAAAGAGCTAGCCAAAAGATTTTCTTCCTGGGTTAGTCAGTGTGGAGTTTATACTGATTATGCAAACCAATGAACCCCCAAGTCACCTCCAGTGGAGACCAGTTCTCTGATGTTAAAAACAGAGTTTGGTAGCACTTATAAATCTGGACAGATCCATTCATCACTTGAGAATATTATAGAACTTTTCCAAAAAGGACAGAAAACAGTGAGTCCCCTAAACTTTCATTTCATGGCTCAATTTTAAGGGTTGACAGTCACTCGAAAATGCATCAAAATCACCCTATCTCAAATGACTGATGACAAAACATCATAAAATCATCTCTGAAGAATGTAGAGCAAGTTCAGAGGGAAAACATGGATGGTTTGGATAAAAGCACTAATTTTGAAGAAAGCCTAAAACTGCTCTCCCAAGAAGCTGTGAAAGTGCAAGTGTGGGAAATGAACAGAAAAAAACAAAAAACCTTGAAAACACGAATGAAAGAGGCAGAGTTTAAATGATAAAGAGAGCTCATTAAAATCTCTGAAACAGTACTGAAGGTAAGTCTGTCTGCTTTCTTTAGAAAATATTTATATGGATGATGGCGACCTGAAATCAGACAGAGAAAATTTAAAAAACACTAACACCTCCACTGTCAATTTGAAAGAATGCACTGATTCTGTTAGGTGTTTCTTTAAAAAGGCTTGAAGAAGAAAATTAAGGACCGTTTAAAAAATTAAGTGAAGAAATTTAAACTAGTAAGTCACCTACAATTCAAATGAATAGTGTCCAAACTGAACAAACATCTTTGCAGTCTGCAAGTAGTTTGAATGTGAGATTCAAAAACTTCAGCTAAACTTCAAATACTGCTTGCTGGACTACCTCAAGAACATATAATGCAAATTTGCAGAAAACCAACTGAGAGAATTTACTGCTTAAAAATCTAGAAGAAACATTGCAAAGTGTATGAAAACATTAGCTATATATATCAGAAGCATGACTCCTACAACAAGATGGCCTTGAGAAAAAGTTGGAAAGAAGCACTTCCTTTTTGAAAAGCTGGATTGTCTCCCATGAGAAAAAAGCTCAAGAAAGTTGGATGGTAGCCTGGCAGAGAGAAAGCTACTGAGCCAAGAAAAGAAAATAATCACAACAGACAAAATATTGGCTGAAGTTTAAATCCCAGCTTTTCTCAAGTAGCCCCGCTGTCCCACATGCAGCTCTGGGCAGACGCCAGGAAGTATTAAGTCACTCCCTAAATCATCAGGTCTCCAGAGGAGGACAGGTTAGCTGTGAGGACTCAGGCATCTGAGTCACCATCAGGTTCGATTCAGGTTTACAGCAGCCAACTCCTAAATATCCACAGAAGGATGTATTTTCTTTTTAAAAATAATTTTTAGATCAATCTTCTTTCAGTTTAATTGTTTTTACTTATTTGATGCTACATTTGCTCAAATTGAAGTTTGATAGAATCAATTCATAAGATAATGCTTTGAGGATCTAGATGGTTTAATAAAATTCTAGACCAGTTCATTAAATGGTCTAGAATTAGATCACATAAGCATTATATTTAAATTGAACTAAATGGTCCACTATTATGTAAGCCATAATTGAATTTTTATATGATCAGGGAGAGACATTTAAATCAATAATGGTCATTTTTATGTCCATGCTATAAACTATTAGAAGAAATCTGTAAAAACTTAGTGTTAACAATAAATTTTAGTTAAAAAACAATATAAAACAAGACCACCACCAAAACCAAAACTGAACAAAACACCACCCTCCACTAAACTGATTAGTATTTTTATTCATTTAGCACTGATTTCATAGAGTTAGGGAATATTAACACTTTGTTCATGACATTCTTTGCTCTTTAAAGGTTTCTAAAATTTTATGCAGTCAAAATAAAAGCTTTCCTTAAAAGTAATCCTTTTTGCCCTGGCCGGTCTGGCTCAGCGTTTGAAGCGTCTGCCTGAGGACCAATGAGTCATGGGTTCGATTCTCGTCAGGGGCACATACTTCAGTTTCAGTTTGTCCCTGGCCCTTGTCGGGTAGTGCGGGAGGCAACTAGTCAGTGTGGCTCTATCACATCGATGTTTCTCTCTGTCTCTCTCTTGCTCCCTCCCTCCCACTCTATCTGATAATGGGTAGAAAAATATCCTCAGGTGAGGAATTAAAAAAAAAAAAAGCAATCCTTTTTTCTGTCCTTCTCAATCTGAATACAAGCACACCTCAGAGATACTAAAGGTTCGGTTCCAGATCACTGCAATAAATAGTAGTAATTTTTTTGCTGGTGGAGGTCTTGCCTTCAATTTACTAAAAACAAACATCTGTGAAGCATGATAAAATGAGGTTATGCTTATAATTTTCTCACCTCTCTATTGCTATCATACTGCTACATAACAGGTCTTGATCCATCTAGTAACTTTCTAATTGGCCTTCCTATCTCGTCAGGTGAATGATAGCAGCCACTATTTATTATGCGGCAGGCATTGGGCTGGTTTACATAAATTAACTCATCGAATCCTCACAGCAATCCTGCAAGGTAATTTAATTATCTTTATTTTACAAGTGCTATCTTTGCACAAGAGCTTCAGCAGCTCCCCAATTACTTTCAGAATATTTTTCAGTCCTCTATCACCCAACAACCTTTTTTTTTTAAAGCATTGGTCCTCTTAATATTCCACTCATACTCAATTGCTCTGTTCCCTATATGCTTTGCTCCCTGTGCTTTTTTAAAAAATTGAGATATAATTGACATACACCATTGTATTAGTTTTAGGTGTACAACATGATTTAATGTACTGTGAACTGATTATCATAAGAAGTTTAACATTCATCACCACAGTTATAAATTTTCTTGCGACGAGAACTTTTAAGATCTACTTTCTTAGCAACTTTAAAATATATAATACAGTACTGTGAACTTCCTTGTGCTTTTCTAAGACTGAGCCTCAGCTTTCTTATTTATTAAGAAAGCATAAAAACAAAAACAAAAACCTCAAGCACCATCCTATGCATGGTAATTGATTGTTGAATAAATGAGTAAAAATACCTGGGGCAGACAACAGATTATAGCAACAATAAGGCTTCAAGCTCAGGTGATGGCAAAACAAATTCTAGAATGACTTAAAAGTAAATTGAATATCATCTCTATGTTATAGTAATGTGTAATTTTAGATAACTAAACTCCCCATCAAATTTCTTAGATCATTTTTGGAACTTGCCACCTTTTCAAGCTTTTAATATTAAAGACTTCTAAATTCATTCTCTATGTCAATGATACACTGGACCAAGTAAACATTTTCATTTATTTTAGTATATATATCATAGCCATCACTGTTTTAATCATAACATTATTGCTGTCACTGAATTAAATACACCCATAAAATTGGAGGATTGGAATGGAAGAGGAGGGGAGATCTAAACAGCCAGAATTTTATTTATATATAGAAAAAAAATTAATTTATATATAATTTTTAACTAATCAAAAAATTGATTTTTGTGTGTGTGTGTGCAAGAAAAACTATAGGAGATGAGAAAAAAGAGAGGAGTTAACACATTAGTGGAGATATATTATTTCAGCATATTTTAACTTAGCATTTAAAATGATACTGAATACAAACATACAAATGGCCTAATTCTATAGTAAGTGTAGAAACATACCCTTCTAGTACCATTGTGAAAGCCTTTCAGGTAGCATTGTGGTGACTTTTCTTCCTTTACATGAATGATTTTATAAATGGCCTTTAAAAAAATACTTAATGATAACACTGAACACAAAGAACTGAAAAATTTGACTTTGTACTCTGGCTAAGATCCCAGAAATTCACATGACTTACCACAGTGGAGGCAAAGAAAAAAGAATTTGGCTTTTGATCCTGTAAATCCATTAAGTCAGTCAAATTTCTAGTAAAAAGTGGAGCATTATCTTTGAAAAGTAAACTGGACCTTAAATAAGTAGCTACCTACATTCTCATTCACCTAATACATATATGATGTCTACTGTGTGCCAGTCGCTGGGGTGACAATGATGAAAACTACTGACAGGTCTCTTTTTAAGAAGAATGACAGGCATTACTTAAGTGCATACAAATAATTCTATTGCAATTGTGAAGGAGTCCTTCTCAATCTATGACCTCAATCTGTAACTGCAATATCATGATGTAGTTATGTATGGTAAAGAGAGGGAGTTATGTAATATGTAATGAGAACCTGTAATAGAACATTAAGTCCAAGAGAACACCTGGGAAGATCTTGAAGTGTCTCAAAATTTCTAGGACCAAAAACCAAACCAAACCAAAAAACAAAACTAGAGTACAGTAAGTAAGGAGAATAGGTTGAAATGAAGCTGGAGAGGTAAGCAGAAACTTAAAAGGCTGAAAAGTCTTTTAAGCCCTAAGGGGAAGGAGAGGAACGCTTCACTCTAAAAGGTTCTACAGTTCGCAGAGCTTTGAAGGTCATATTAGAATTCTGGATTTAGGAGTTAGAAAAGAATTAGTGGTTAATAGATTAGGTCCTTTAGCGAGATTAAAATCGGACCATAGGTAATTCAGTTAGTTTCTGGAAGTGGCTTAGAGAATTTTTTTCAGACAAAAGAGAAACAGTTTTGGGTTGTTTAAAAAGTTAAGTACACAGCCCTGGCTGGTGTGGCTCAGTTGCTTGAGTGTCATCCTGTGCTCTGAAAGGTTGCTGGTTTGAATCCCTTAAGTTAGGCCACATGCCCAGGTTGCAGGTTCAGTCCCCAGACAGGAGGGAACCAAAAAAATCTATGTTTCTCTCTCTCTAAAATCAATAAAAAATATTTTTAAAAAGTTAAGTACATAAATACATTCATTTATTTATTAAGCACCACCTACATAAATGTAATGCATTTCAACATCACCCACTTCCTCCTGAAATCCATGGTCTTTCTAAATTGACAGGGAAAGGGAAGGGTGATTGCAGAGTTGAACACAGACATGACTGGTAAAAGCACTATCTTAGAGCACAAATACAGGTTTCTGAGAGCCTTTAGCAACTTCCCAGGAATACCTTCACTATCCTCTCCACTTTGATAAGTTTCTGTGAATTTAAAATTATTTAAAAATAAAAAGTTTTTAAAAACATATCTGGGGTGTATAAACAGAGAGCAAATACATTAGCCTAAAAGATTACTCATTTTGGTTAGTGTAGAATTTGTTAAGAGAAAAAAGTTAAAATAATGATAGTAGAGTAAAATTTTATAACCGAAGTAATGTAAAATCATGGAAAAAGGATTTAAAAGCATCATGTTCAAACACTGGCTCTACCACCCACTTAGCTGGGTGACTTTGGACACATCACTTAACCTCTCAAGAGTACTGTGAAAATCAGATGAGATGTGAAAATATAGTTTGTGAACTGTAAAGCTTTGTACAACTGCTAGCTATTATTCATTCAAATTTCCCAGCCTTAATTTCTTTTCGTAAAGGACTATTTTCATTTTATATCACATATTCTTTCAATGGAACAAGAACGCACTTAAGAACGGTATTCAAACAAACAAATACAGCAACTCAGTTTATTACATGCAGATTCCTCTGCATTGTTGCTAACAGTTCACTGGTCCAAAATTACTAAAATACTTAAAAAACTATACATTATGTAAACAAAACATAAATAAGACAGCAGAGTTCTTTGTACATATAGTTTAGTACAGGTTGTTAGGAATTTAGGAATATGTACAATTTTACACCATGGACTGCATTTTCACAATGCATAAATATATATATATATATAATTTTTTTTACAGAAACAAAAATAAGATTTCACTAATGACACAGAATACCATATTGTAGATACACGCTGCAATAGTCCAAATTCAAGAAGAAACATGTCAATGCAAGTGCACAAAAGGCTAGCTTACTCCAAACTAGTCAAACTTGACTTTGTTCAATTTGTTATACAGACAGGTAAATCCTGTCTACTTTAAACAAACCACCTCTGAAAACATATACCAATGAGCGAAATGGAACAGATTTTTCCCTCCCCAAGAAAACAAAGCCTTGTTGCAAGCTAATGAAAAGATACATTTAACACACACACACACACACACACACACACACACTCTATGTATAGTATGTTTTCAACAGTATAATAAACAGTTAAAATTTATATGGGAGTCAAAACAATGCCCCATTATTTAAAAACTGGCTCGTTTAGTCTAAATTCAAGATGCAGCTGTGTCAGGCTTCTCTAAGCCAGATGCCTGTAAAGCAGGGAAGACAGAGGCAGGATTTCGACTGGCAGATACAACAATTTGAGAGAGAGACGAAGAGAGTGAAGAAACCTTAGATGCTGGAGTACTTATGGTATTCAAAATGGCTCCTTCAGGGCTAACCAACAATTTTTTGACTGATGTGTCCAAATGAAATACTGAAGTACTACTTGGCAGTGGAGGATTACTAGAGCAAATGGAAGAAACCAAAGATGTCTTAGCTAAAAGAGTACCTGGAGGAGACTTAATTACTGAAGTCAGTGACACCGTTGGTACAGGAGGTGGAACAGAAACTTTAGCAGTTGTGTTTATGATTTGTGGTGTTGTATGTACTGTGGGTAGAGAACTTGCATTCTCAAGAGAGTTTACAATTTTTGTAGAGGTTCTTAGAGATTGTTTTACAGGTTGTCCACTTAAAGAATTATTTGATGCTAGTGTGGTCTTCTGGACAGGATTTTCTACTGGTGTAGGCTGAGTGCCTTGGCCACTGTTAAGAACTAAGGGAGGTCCATATTTTGGATTAGTAGATATAAGGAGAACATGGCTGCCAGCTCCAAGACCTTGTGGTGGAACAATAAACCGGGCTCCATTAATCATGATCTGAGTACCGGGTGCCAAAGGTGTACTGGTGTTGATGACTATTTTTTGCTGAATACAAGGTTCACTGAACTGACCTCCTACCACACTAGTTACATTTGATGGTGCTGTAGAAGTGTGAATGGTAGAGCCACCTGGAGTAGAACTGTAACTGGAGGATGATTTTACTAAAGCAGGGGACATTGGCTGGCTTGGCAGAGAAGCAAAATTGGAAATATTGATTATTTTACCTGGACTTGGTGAAAGGGATGGCAATTCGGTTTGAGGTTTATTTGTGTTTATATTTGTTGGCACTGTAGCTGAAATCCCTGGTGGTTGAAATTGGACGGAAGTCCGAGATTGTCTTTTAGAAAGAGATACAGAACGTGTGGTTCCTGGTACTGTTGCCACTTGTGGAACTGTGTTGATTATTTTAGGAGATATAGTCACAGGTGTAGGCAAGGCAACATTAACAGGGATTTGCAGAGCTGATGTCAGACATTTAGGAGACACTGTTGGTTGTGTAGTTGAAATCAGAACAGATGACGCAAGATGTCCTGTTTTTACAGTTGATATAGCCACAGTGTTTCCGAGATTTGATGTGCAAAGTCTATTTGACAAAATGGGCATAATTCTTGAAGAGGTATCATTTCCGCTGACTAAAACAGGAGGTCGTGTCCCAACTGAAGAAGAGGTTGAGGTCACTGAAAGAGAACCTAAAGATACATTTGCTCCTGTTACTGAAAACATGTTTACTGCTCTTGCTGCAGAAACTACTGATTCATTAACGGGAGTAATATTTTGACTCACAAAATTTGAGCTTACTGGAATTGAATTACCACTTGTTGACAATGGCAAACCATAGCCCTTGGTACTTTTTTCTTCTCCTTTTGGGGTTACATTTTGCAATATGTTAATAGATGGTATAGCTGGCACACTGCCTGAAGTATTTACAATGGCTTGACCTATGTTTAGTCCAATTTTCACATCTTTTATCTGAGACACAGTTGGTGATGAGTTTACTTTTACTGGTGCTCCCACTGTAGATGGAATTAGTACTATCTGGGGCTGCTCTGGAGTCTTACCATATGTTTTATGCAAGGGGGCAGGGAGAGTCTGTTTTAATGGTTCTGCCACAATAGTTGAAGTGCCACTGGAAATTGGAGCATTAATAAAAACTAATTTCTGGGCAGAAACACCTGTAGGTGTTGGTGCAGGTGTCACATTAATTGTAGTTCCACTGCCAGAAGAAAGAACAGATGGAGCTGACACCAGCATAACTTTCTGAACTGCAGTCCCACTGATCACATCTCCATTTGTTGCTACTGTTGCTTCTGATCTTGTGACAGGGTAACTTTTTGTGATATAATCTGCTTGTTGCTGTTTAGTTGGAGTATGGATAACATTTGCATTGGTTTGTCCAAAATTTCCTGTTGACAGGCTAATTACATTTACTGAACTATTTGCTGTTGATGCTTGCAGAGTACTAGAAGAAATAGAAGACTTTAATGGAGAAGAGGGTATGTGTGAAGTCTTATCTACCATGTGGCCCAAATTACCACAAGGTTGGCCTAAAGTAAGTTTTAGATTTTTCCCCACAGATGGATTAAAGCCAGCTGGAATGGAAACAGAAGTTGGTATCTGGCCAAAAGGTGGGAGACTAGATGTAGTAGTCATTCCAGCTACTGGTGAAAAAGCAGAGGATGATAAAGTTGTTGATTTTGGCACCAGAAATGCCTGAAGCTGAGGAGCAAAAGTGAAAACTGAACTTGAAGATAAACTGTTGGGTGAATTTTGATCTGTATTTGTCTGTACTTTTACAACTCCAGTGTTCCCACCTCGTGTCCTAACGAGAATTGACTGTGAATCCCTTATACACACAGTTTTCAATTCTTGCTTTGCTTCAGAAGAATCAGAAATTTGTTGTGCAAAACAGTTGAGGGAGCTATCAGGATTTGTAGATCCACTTAGTGTTGTTGCTGATAACAGAGGCTGAACTGATGAAGAAATGGTGGGTGAAGCAATGGGCTGGGGGAATGTGGCTGCTGAAACTGCATTCTTGACTTTTCCCATCTCACTCTGGCTATTTTTAACTGATGGTGTCAATAAATTACTTATGGAGGTTACAGGTGACAAAGGCTGTAGTCTAGTACTACTCACATTTGACAAAGGTGTAATTGTCTTACTGAAAACTGCATTGGATAGATGGGTAGAAGACATAGCTCCTGTTGATTTGACAAGAACTTTTGCTGAAGAAGAGTTTACATTTGCTGTCTGCTGGAAAGATAAACAATGTTGTTCTGTGCCTTTTTGTTGAAGTGGTGGTATTTCTTTTGCAACTGCTCTGCCTTCCTTGTGCTGAATCACAAAATTCTTAGGCAGAATGAGAACTTGCTGCATAATTTTTTCTCCTGTTTTAGGATCCAGCACAGGTTGCATCTGAATCTTTACAGAGCTGTTATGAAGATCTATGGGCAACCACTGGCCACAGGGCATTTTGTATACCATCTGTAAAGGACCTTTTGTACTGGTGTGGCAGGTCAATGCTGGCTTTATGGAGCTTGCTTCTGGAGGAGATACAATGGGCTTTTCCACAGCATAAGTACTACCTGTAGAAGGGGGCAGTTGATTTGTTAAGGTCACTTTGTTCCCAATATTCTTTGCAAGCAAGGCCTGAATAGGTTTGGTCCCTTTCTGGAAAGTAGACACTGGTGTTGAATCCACTGAGGCAAATGACTCTGGAAACAGTGGCTCTGTATGGTTTGATTCATTCAAATAGTCAATCTGTATATCATCTTCTGCATTCTCAACTGTTGTCTCATTTGTGCTTAACTTTGCTTTCTTCCTTGGAGAAAGCTCTTTTGTGCTATCATCCAGATGACTAGTTTGTTTGGACTGTCGCTTAAGTGTTTTAGGCAGTGTCTTCAGTACATCTTTAGAAGGCAATTCCTTTTTTAACAACTTGCTTCTGGCCATAGGAAAATCTATTTCTGACAATTTCATATCATCTGAAAATTTTAAAACAAGCATTTTGTTCATATAAATAGCAAATGAATAATAATAATTATTATTTTTAAAAGTTGATCTGAACTGACAATTTATTAAGAAATCTATAGGGTGATTCAGTCTAAGCACCACTGATAGAAATAAAGGTAAGATGACCTTTGACATGGTAATCTTGATATCATAAACATTTCCAAAAACATTATTAATGAGAAAATTATTTTTGGTCAACTTCTGCTAATTCTGCTGACCATATAAATGCAAAAGGAAATTGTACATCTTTTAAAGAGATCAAGCCAGCAATTAGGGCTAAGAATTTAGATTTGGAAAGGAATTTATTCTAATTCTCTTCTTCATAGGAAAATCTTAATATCAAAGAGAGATAGTTATCCATCTAATCTATTTTTAGAGACTCTAAAGAATGAAAAGTGTCCAGCTTTTACTGGTGTTTAATTATTCCTACAGTAAAAAATGTATGTCCATATCTGGTCAAACTGGGTTGACAAGAAGTAATTCCTTTTTAATTTACAAAGACATAACACACAACTGGTTAATTCATTTCTAACCACAAATTTTCACACTAACCCTCTTATATAACTAACGAAAGTTATTTAACTAGATTTACAGAATAATATAATCTGATGAGTTGAAATGAATTACAGATAATCTAATCCAGCCTCCTTATTAGAATGATGTCCACTCTGGTCTCATTAGGCCATCAACCTTGGTCATTCCTCATAAAAAAAAAAAAACCTTCACAGTATTAGGGACTTGCCAAGTTCCATTTAAAGCAAATATCAGAAACAGTGCTGCAAAAACAGGGATAAGAAGAGCATGAATCTATTTCAAAGGAATTGCAGCTCAAGGATGTGTGGTCTATAATAAGCAATGAAACCTACAGTTTCGAGTCAGGCATTGGCTCCAGAACTCCTAGAAATGTAATGACGACTTCAAAGAATCTTTTATAAGGATATAGTACACCTTCAAAACATCAGATTTCCCCAATCAATATACTTCATTAATCAGATTATTATTTTTATCTCCATAAAATATATTAAAATTTCTCTTTGTGGTAGTGTTGTTTTAAAGAAAAAAGTTATGCCTACCTGAATCAAAGTGATCTTTCTCCAGGATATCTAGAGGTTCTGTTGAGTCTACAGACTTACTGATTTCCACTTTAGGAGATTCCTTTCCAGGATCTCCTTCACTTTCTTCAGCAGTCCATAGTTCTCTAGTAAATTTATCATGATCAGGATGTCTTCTGAAATCATCATAGTCTTTCTTTAGGCGGCTCCTGAAATACAATGTGTGACATAACAAAAAAAGTATACATGCTTAATTCAGTTTTGCCAATGATTATTGTTCAAGAAGACAAAACCCAAGGTGTAGGCATAAGAAATTGAGAAGATTTTATCTGCAATTTCAGAATAAAGTGTTTGAACATTCCACCTGTCTTTCTAAACACTGTTGTTAGGTAATTTTTTTCTAAGTACACTGAGTTTAGATAGTCTTATAATTACTGATTATAATAGTTAAAAATGTCATTAAAGAAAGTTAATCAAGAAGTTTTAAGAAACAGTACCTATCTACAGAGATTAACAAACAAACAAAAATCCATTATTTAATTCTGAGAGTGATTATTTCTAAATCTTTGGGTCTCCCTAGAAATAATTCTTAATTAAGCACAGGAAAACAAAGCAGAAAGGTGATCTTCCAGAGACCCTTTTCACATAAAAACATAGCTATATTTCTATGAAACTATGGAGAAATGAAAACATTTCCAAATTATTATATAGTATTTTATAGATCCTTCTATATTCCTTTTACTTCCACCTGAGTTTCTCTTTTCTACTCCTAACCTTTATACTTTATTTTTTGTTAGTTAAAGAAAAATATCTGAGCATACATATTCTCCAATTTATTTTTGCATACTGAAATTTAAGCCTCACTTTTGTCACTGAACAGCTATAAGACTTTGGGCAAGTACCTTAAACTTTCTAAGCATCAGTTTGCTTCTTTGTACAATAGGGATAATAGTGGCACATAAATATTCAACAAATGTTAGTTAATAATTACTCTCAATTTATTTGCTTTAAATTAATGCTTATGGGTTTTATGAAGTAGATAAAGGCTATAAGATACCAGAATGGGTTACTAAAGGATAACTATAAAATTAATTTCCTTTTAGAAATATCTACATGGGACTCATAATTTCCTTCTCAGTTTTCTTCTTAGTCTCAGCTGGTGACTTTGCTTCTTATTGCAGGGAAACTGTAAGCAACCAGACAAGAACTTTCACATGCTCATACCTCATCTGCAGCTTAAGACCTTCATTTGTACTCATATTTTCTGTCTTCTTATATAAGGAAACCTCTCCACTTAAGCATCCTCTCTCACCTCTTCAAGAGTATTATTCTACTAAATGTCCCTTCCTTTGCCTGAGTCCATTTTTGCCTCTGCATTAGATAATTTCCACCGGTATACAACCATGTTATTTCTCTCATTAAAACAACCACCGCCACCCAAAATCCAAAACAAAATAATACCTCTCTTGATTCCAATTTGTCCTTCCAGGTACTGTCCTATTTCTCTGCTCCACTTTATAGCAAAACTCAAATTCCTCTCCCCTAATTCTCGTAAATAAACTCCTAACTTTTACTCACTTCTCTACCAACACAGCTCATCAAGGTCATCAATGATCTCCATGTTGCCAAAATTCGGTAATGAATCTTCAATCCTCATATTCCTCAATCTATCATAAGCAGTCCTCACCAACATTTTCTTTATCTGGTTCCCAAGACACCACTCTTTCTCTTGGTTTTCCTCCTATCTTACTGAACACTTCCCTTCTCTTCTGCTGAATACTACTCATCTCCACCATCTCTAAATATTGGAATGCCATAGAATCCAGTGTATCTTCTTATCTATGCTCACATAATAGGTGATTCCTACAAGTTTCATAGCTTAAATATAATCTATATACTGACAACTCCCAAACTTAAATTTGGTTTACTCCCTGAGACTAGAACTTATACTAAACAGCTGATTTAATAACTCCAATTAGATGTCTTAAAAGCATATCAAACTTAATATGTTGAAATTCAAACTCTGAATCCTTTTCTTCCCCTGCCCCCAAACCTGTGACTCCTTCAGTTTCCCCTATCTTAGCTAATGGCAATTCCATATTCCAGTTGTTTAGACCAAAAAGACTGGGCACCATTATTTTACTCTCATTTTATTCTGACATTCCATATGCAATCTTTAAGCAAATTCTACCAATCCTGCCCTGAATGGTGTGGCTCAGTTGGTTGGGGCATTGTCCTGTGCTCCAAAGGGTCATGAGTTCGATACCCTGTCAGGGCACATTGGGGAGGCAACTAATTAATGTTTCTCTCTCACATCCACGTTTCTCTTTCTCTCCCTCTCCCTTCATCTCTCTGTAGAAAAAAAAAACAGAAACATAATCTTCATAAAGACTAAAAAAAAAAAATTCTACCAATTCTACCTTCAAAATATATCCAGAATCCAACCACTCCTTGCCTTCAACACTGCTACTATCCTGGTCCAAGCCATCAACATTTCTTTTGCCTGCATTACTGTTGTAGTGTAATAGATTTCCCTCCTTTCATCTTTGTCCATCTACACACTAATCTCAACACAGTAGGCAGAGTGAGTTTAAACATTAAGTTTTAAAGCACATGTCCTGCCTCTGCTTAAAACCCTCCAATGGCTTCTCATTTCAGTCAGAATTTTTAAAAACCAAAGTCCTTAAAGGCCTACATGACCTGGCTACCTTTCCCTATACTTATCTCACTCTTGATTCTTACCACTTTCCTCCTCACTTACTCTGGTTACACCTGCTCCTTTGCATTTCCTCTAAATGCCAAACATGCTTCTAACACCTTAGGGGTTCTGCATCTTATTTTTCCTCAGATATCCACATGGCTTTCTCCCTCATTTCCTTTAGCTGTCTGTTCAAACATCAACTTATCAGGGAATTTCTCTGACAATCTGGTAAAAGAGCAATCATCACCTCGTTCAAACCAGGTATTTTTAGCCCCCTTACCCTGCTTTATTTTTCTTCATAGCACTTATCAACATCTGACATTTGAGTTTGTCCCTTTATTCTATCAGAATATAAGCCATAGCCCTGGCTGGTTTGGCTCAATGGTTAGAACGTCAACCCACAGACTGAAGGGTCACAGGTTCGATCCTCACCTGGGACAGGGTTGTGTGAGAGGCAACCAATCAATGTGTCTCTCTCACATCATTGTTTCTCTCTCTCTCTCTCTCTCTCTCTTTCCCTCCCTTCCTTCAACTCTATCTAAAAATTAATGGAAAAAATATCCTTGGGGCCGGATTAACAACAAAAAAGAATATAAGCCACAGATGAAGCTAGAAATCAATAACAAAAGGAAAACTAGAAAATTTACAAATATGTGAAAATTAAACAATACTATTAAACAACCAATAGATAAAAGAAATCTTAAGAGAAAATGAAAACTACTTACAGATGAATGAAAATAAAAACAACATATCAAAACTATGGAATATAATGAAAGCAGTGCTAAGGGGAAAATTTAAAACTATAAACTCTTATGTTAGAAAACAATAAAGATCTCAAATCAACCACTTAATTTTATAACTTAAGAAACTAGAAAAAGAAGAACAAACTAAACCCAAAGCTAGCAGAAAGAAAATAATAAAGATTAAATAAAATACAGAGTAGAAAAGTAGAAAAAAAATCAATGAAACCAAAAGTTAGTTTTTTGAAGGATCAACAAAACTGACAAACCTTTAGTTAGATGGACTAAGAAAAAAAAAGAGAACTCAAATTACTAAAATCAGAAATGAAGGTGGGGCCATTTGTACCATTTCTAAAAGAACTATTAAGAGTACTATGAACGACTGTATGCCAATAAACTGGATAACCTAGATGAAATGGACAAATTCACAGAAACACAACACCTACCAAAACTAAATCATGCAGAAATAGAAAATCTGACTAGATCTATAACTAGTGAAGATCGTATAAATAAAACAAAAATATCTCTTGGAAAAAAAGTCCTAGACCTGATTGCTTTGCTAGTGAATTTTATCAAACATATAAGAAAAACTGATACCTATCCTTTCCAAACTTTTCCAAAAAACTTAAAAAGATAAAACAGTTCTTAACTCATTCTTTGAGGGTAGCATTATCCTGATGCCAAATCCTGATAAAGACACTACAGAAAAAGAAAACTGCAGATTACTATCTCTTAAAAACATTAATGCACGCCTGGCCACTTTGGCTTAGTGGTTAGAGTATTGGCACGCAGACCAGAGAGTCCTGGGTTTGGTTTCTGCTAAGGGCACGTACCTCGGTTGCAGTTTGGCCCCGGCCGTGGTTGAGGTTGTGTGGGTGGCAACCACTCGATGTGTCTCTCTCACACCGATGTTTCTCTCTCTCTCTAAAAAATAAAAATAAACAAAACAAAACAAAACATTAATGCAAAAATTCTCAACAAAATACAAGCAAATCAAGTTCAGCAACATACTAAAAGAATTATACACCATGACCAAATGGGACTTACTCCTGAAATGCAACATACCAAAACTGATTGATGTAATATATCACATTAATAGAATGAAAAAAAGAAACAGCATGATCATTACATTGTTGCAGAAAAAGCATTTGATAAAAGTCAACATTCTTTCATAATAAAAACATTCAACAAATGAGAAACACAAGAAAACTACCTCAACATAAAAAAAAGCTATATATAAAAAACCCACAGCGAATATCACATTCAAGGGTAAAAGACTGAAAACATTTCCTGCAAGCACAGAAAAAAGACGAGGATGCTTGCCTTGGCTATTTCTGTTGAACATAGTACTAGAAGTTCTAGCCAGAGCAACTAGGCAAGAAATAGAAACAAAGGCATCCAAATTGGAAAGAAAGAAGTAAAATTATCTTTGGTCACAAATATGATATGTAAAAAACACTAGCAGTCTACAAAAAAAAAAAAAAAAAAAAAAGAATAAATTCAATAAAATAGCAAGATATTAAGTCAACACACAACAATCAGTTGCATTTCTACAGATTGACAATGATCAATGTGAAAAGGAAATTAAGATTTATACAACGAAAACTTAAAAAAAGGCAATAGAAAACAAATTGAAGAAAATATAAATTTAGAACGAGAACAAATACTCCAAAAGTTTATATGGAATCAAAAGAGATCCTGAATAGCCAAAGCAGTTTTGAAAAAAGAAAAAAATAGTAGGGATCACAATACCAGATATCAGATTATG